TCTTTTTGCTTATGTGGTGCTGAGGAATCGAACCCAGGGCCTCATGCATGCAAGGCAAGCGCTCTACCACTGAGCCACCTTCCCAGCCCCCAGCTAGTTTTTAAACAACATTATGGGGGCTGGGAAGGTAGCTCAGTGGTAGGGCGCTTGCCTTGCATGGCTGAGGCCCTGGGTTCGATTCCTCAGCACCACATAAGCAAAAAGAAAAAAAAAAGCCAGAAGTGGTGTTGTGGCTCAAGTGGTAGAGCGCTAGCCTTGAGATGAAGAGCTCAGGGACAGCGCCCAGGCCCAGAGTTCAGGCCTCACGACTGGACCCAAAACAAACAAACAAACAAACAAAAACAAATTATGATCTGGTTCTTTCTACCTGCTCCTACAATTCCAACTCAAGCACTGAAGAAAGTGAGTCCTGTGCTCTGATTTGTCGACTAGCATGTGAGACGGACAGAGACACGCTTCCTGTAGCCACGGCTTCCAGACCAATGCTGCGCAGAGACCAATGCTGCGCAGAGATAGCTGCTGCTCTGTAGTCGGTGACAAGGGGTCCTCTTGCTCCCCAGCAGTCTCATACAACTTGGGCGTGCCCTCTGTACCCGTGATCTAAATTCACCCAGTCACACAGAATCACGGTGCAGTGATTACTTTCCATTGGGCCCGAGCCTCCAGGCTGCGACCTTCACTTTCCTGACTTAACAGGTGACCATGTCTCTACTTGAATGTGTCAGTTAGGAAAGCACCCGTGATAGCGGCTGCCACCCCTCAACTTGACCATGTGCCAGCCCTGACTCTTCACACAGATAGGCCGCTGGAGGAGTGCTCCTCTGGATTGTCTCAGCTTCTTCTTGCCACGCTCCCCTTCTCCTTTAAGTATTTCCTGAGGGAGGTTGTGAGAGAGGGGACTTCTGATGATTGGGCTGCGGTGGAGACAGTGCAGGAAGGAGCCATTAGCTCGGCCCCTCCCCAGAGGCGCTGACAACAGAGAGCGAGGAGCAGGCCAAGTGCAGCGAGAGGCACTAAAAAGTGCTTTGGAGTTGGTCAAAGGAATCTCACTGGATTCAAATTCCAATTTTAATTATTTACCCCTACATCCAACAGTCACTCAGAAAAACCAATAAAGCCAGAAGCAATGACTTATTAAAACTAGCACCCTGATGAACTGCCCATGACCAAGGAAAAGACTGAGCAAGGGGAGTTAGATGAGGGGGGACTTGTTTTGCCAGGCAGCAGGTACGTGCCAGCTCATCTCCCAGTGCCCAGGTCAGTGAATCTGACACAGGATTCACCTGGAGAGAACATTATAGAAATTCCTGGCACAAAGGACCTAATCAAAACAGATGGTTTTTAACTGAACTGTGAAGCCCAGAGCCTTACAGTGACATCAGAAGGGGCATATAGCACTTCTCTGCAGAGGGAACAGCTGGTGGAACAAAGGCAGCTGAGATTCTGTGTTCTCTCTGCAGGCCACTATGTCCAAGACACCTGTGTCTACGGGCCAGGAGACCTGCCCTGGATCATCCAATCGCCTTCTCTGTTTGCCAACAAATTCGAGCCGGCCTCTGAGCCCCTCGTGGTCACGTGCCTGGAGAGGAGGCACCGGCTTCGGGTCCTGGCGCAGGCAGAGGTCCCCATAGAACCACACTGGCGTTTCCAACCGGAAAGTCATTTCAACATGAAGCTGCACTGCTAAAGGCATCTGTTTTCTTGTGGATGTGATTCTTTCCTGATAGAAACAAGGAAGCTTAGAACTAAAGAACACCAGGACAGTAATTCCTGGTACCAATTAGTTCTCAGATTTTTTTTTGCCAGTCCCAGGGCTTGAACTCAGGGCTTGGGCGCTGTCCCTGAGCCTCTTTGTGCTCACTTGAGCCACAGTGCCACTTCCAGCTTTTTCTGTATAGATGGTACTGAGGAATCAAAGCCAGGATTTCATGCATGCTAGGCAAGTCACATCCCCAGTCCTGGAATGTGTTTTGACAAGACATTACTACTGATCACAGGCCACTTCCTTAGCTTTGGGAGAAAAATCCCAGGAGAACAAAAGGCCTAAGCCTGTCCCAGTGGTCTTGGAAAGCCGAATGCTTACATAAAACGCTCAGTGCTGCAATGTGCGTTCCAGCTGGAGTTGCTCTGGGGTGGGTACTTGTAGACAGTACCTGTGGGGAAGGAACCCCCCACCCTAATGGAAATACGCTGGCCATGCCGGGCTAGTCAGTGAGAACAACAGACTGTACTCTGGAGACCCCTAAGTAAGATGAAACTGCTTAGAAACGGGGAACACTTTGTCCAAAGCTGCTGGAAGTGAGCCATTGCCCTGTTGCCTGCTAGTGCTCTTCAAGGCAACCATGGCCACGCTGCACCACGGGGCACTGTGGATGCTGGAAAGCGGGTGAGTGTGACTGAGGAGTGAATCTGGACTTCCATTTCCTTTAGACGTTTTAGCTGACTGTGTTACATCTGAGGCCCAGGTGGCTAGCAGCCCCGTCGCGAGGCTCACTAAGGCAAGCGCAGCACGCACCAGGACGAAAGCCCCCCAGCAGCACTGACACTCCCCACAGGAGATGACGGGGCAGGAGGGTGAGGCCAGGATCTGAGCAGGCAGCTGGGCAGCCTGGCCACAGAGGCCACCCTACTGACTTCCTATGAGGTCCAAGCCTGTAACAGAAGCAGCGACCAGAACACACCACTTCAGAAACAGCACAAAATACAGTAAGAACAGCAAGGTTTCAGGGCCCTTGTGTAAGTGCAGCAGCAGCTTTGGGATTGGGGGGAGTTAGGAGGTGAAGGAAAGGCCAGCTGCTCTGACCCGAGCAGCACAACACCAGTGCAAGCTTCAGCACCACTCACATCCAATGGAAAGGCAGATGGCGCACACTCCATTCTCAAGCAGACTGTCTGCTCACTTACTCACTTATAGTGTATAAGAACAAAATAAAATCCCACATAAAACTGTGTGAACTCTTAACACCAAGGTGATGTATGCACAGGGGTCCTGAGATGATGCCTCTAGTCTTGGAAACAGAGCCCTCTTGCAGCCTTACACGTTACTGTTTAAAAGCATATATTAAGTTGGGTGCTGGCAGCTCACCCCTGGAATCCTAGGTACTCAGGGGGTGAGATTTGAGGATCACAGTTCAAAGCCAGCCCAAGCAGGAAAGTCTGTGAGACTCTTATCTCCAATTAGCCACCAGAAAACTGGAAGTGGTGCTGTGGCTGAAAGTGGTAGTGCAAAGAACTCAAGGACAACGCCGGGCGCTGGTGGCTCACGCCTGTAATCCTAGCTACTCAGGAGGCTGAGATCTGAGGATCGCGGTTCAAAGCCAGCCCGGGCAGGAGAGACCGTGAGACGCCTATCTCCAATAAACCACCAGAAAACCGGAAGTGGCGCTGTAGCTCAAGTGGTAGAGCGCTCGCCTTGAGCTGAAGAGCTGAGGGACAGCGCCCAGGCCCAGAGTTCAAGCCCCACGACCGACAAAAAAAAAAAAAAAAAGAGCTCAAGGACAGCACCCAGGCCCTGAGTTCAAGTCCCAGGACTCCCCTCCCCATCACAAAATAAGTGTTTCTTCCAATTCTTTGAGGCTTGACAACCATAAATATTGCAGGAAGCTCAAACAACCCAAAGGAGATCAAAGCCAAAAACTAGAATTAGATGACCCAACTTGTGTGTATGTGTATGTACACAGGTAGTGGGATTTGAACTCAAGGCTTTGCTCTCTCATCTGAGAGAGCTAGTGCTAGTACTCTACCACTTGAACTATAGCTCTACTTTTAGCATCTTACCACTTGACTGGAGATTAAGAGGTTAAGACTTTCCAGCTGGCTTTGAGCCTTGATCCTCAGGTCCTAGTCTCTTAAGTAGCTAGGATTATAGGCATGAGCCACTACAACTGGGCTTAGCTGACCACTTCAAAAAAATATTCCCTTTCCTAACTTAATTTTCTCTTTCCACCCCATTTGCCATGAAAAGAATGTAAAACAAAAGAATTTAAAACAGAAACAGCCAAGTACACATTCACAGTTACTTCTAACTTAAAGCATCCCACAACCTCCACCTATCAGAGCCTGATCACAAGGGGCCAGAAGCTAGCAAGTTAACTACTACCACTGCCATACCTCTAACCTTCACAGCAACTTCGCTATATGCCTGTGCATACCAGTCATGTAGGGACCCTGATAAAACACAAACTAGATCAGTAGGCCTGCAGTGGGCTGAGGTTCTATACTTATTTGTGTGTGCTGGTACTGAGGCTTGAACTCACAGCCTCACACTCTTGCTCAGCTTTTTCACTCATGCAGGAGCTCTATCATTTGAGCCACACTTCCATTTCTGGCTTTTTGCCGATTAGTTGGAGGAAGAGTCTCTTAGACTTGTTTGCCAGGCTGGCTTCAAACCTTGGTCCTTAGATCTCAGCTTTCTGAGCAGCTGGGATAACTGGCGTGAGCCACCTGCACTTCTTTTAAAGTTTTTTTAATTCTTAGAGGTGATCTACAGAGGGGTTACATGTACGTGAGTCAGGTAATAAGTACATTTCCTTTTGTACAGTGTCACCTGTGCCGTCATTCTCTCCCATTCCCATTCTTCACACACGCGTTGTATAGTTCACTCTCATCAATGTCCAGTGCACTCCACTGCTGCACTTTTCACCCCTTTTCCTCAGATTCTGTGCCTTCTCACCCAAACAATCAAACCTGCCAATATTGTAGGTTATGATGAACTTTGAGTAGCAAGCACATTATTCATTTTGCACCCTGAAATGATTCCAATGTGTTTCTTCTTGTTGCAAGAAGTGAAAATACAGTGGGGAATACAATTAATTTTTCTGGCTAGTGATTTGTTTATAGCAAAAACAAAAAAGCCTAGCAACTGCCATCTCTTTGGATCCTGTTTACTGAAATCAGGCATGTATGCCTGATAGAACCAAAGCTGTCTCCAAGCTCTGAATCTCTGCTAGTGAATTTAAAAGGCACTTCTTGGCAGGCACTAGTGGCTCATACCTGTAATCCTAGCAATTCAGGAGGCTGAGATCTAAGGATTGCAGTTCAAAGCCAGCCCAGGCAGGAAAGTCTATGGAACTCTTACCTCCAGTTAACCACCAGAAAACCAAAAGTAGAGCAGTGGCTCAAAGTGGTAGAGCACTAGCCTTGAGCAAAAAGAGCTCAAAGAGGGGCTGGGAAGGTGGCTCAGTGGTAGAGCACTTGCCTTGCTTGCATGGGGCCCTGGGTTTGATTCCTCAGCACCACACAAGCAAAAAGAAAAAAGCCGGAAGTGGTACTGTGGCTCAAGTGATAGAGTGCTAGCTTTGAGCTGAAGAGCTGAGGGACAGTGCCCAGGCCCTGAGTTCAGGCCCCACAACTGGACCCCCCCCCAAAAAAAAAAAGAGCTGAAAGAAGTGCCCAGGCCCTGAGTTCAAGCTCCACAATTCCCCTCCCTCAAAGACACATCTAGAAAATTGAAGGTGAAAGGAGAAAAAAAACGCATAGCTTTCAGCCCACTGAAGCCCTGGCACAGGCCTCATACCAGTGACTGCTCAAAAATTCAGATACAGTCCAAATAGCCTTTGGCACTGGCTGTCTTCCTCCATTCCCATATTCACGGTGCACTGAAATTCCTGATGCAGAAGTGGCCGCCATTCTCCACGCACCTAGATACCCATTAAGACTACATCTCCCATGCTTCCCGGCAGCCAGGCTCCCTGGCCTTGTGACTCCCAGCCAATGGGGAGAGTAGAGGGGTTATGAGCCAGTTGTAGGTCTGCCCACAGAAATCTCTCCAGAAAGAAAGATACTCTCCTTCCCTCAAGTCAAGGGAAAAAGGGAGAGAACTTTTAAACCACAGGAAGTACAATGAGAGACAATCCATTTCTGTCCCTCAGTGCATGGTATCTTCTCACAGTGGCTCTGGCAAGCAAACACAGGCATGCACGCAACCCGTTCTGCAGTGGCAATGTTTACGCATACTGTAGGAGTAAAAAGTACTCATGACCTTGTCTTCTACAACAGATTCCAAAAAAAATTCTTTTAGCCCAGTGCCTGTAATCCTAGTAACTTAGGAGGCTAGATCTGAGGATGGCAGTTCAAAGCCAGCCGGGAAGGAAAGTCCATGAGATTTTTATCTCCAGTTAACCACCAAAAGCTGGGAGTGAAGCTGTGGCTGAAGTGGCAGGGTGCTAGCCTTGAGCTTTTTACAAAAGTTCAGGGACCAGGCCCAGGTCCCAAGTTCAAGCCCTAGGATCAGCACACACAAAAAAGTCCCCCAAATTCAGAGGTACCGGAGTTACAGCCAGTCCTGCGTCACTGGAGGGCTGGGTGGCTGCCTGGCTCGGCGCTGGGTCTCTGTGTCCGCGAGTAAGGTCAGCACCCTTGCAGCTCTGCAGAGCCTGTCAGCTGCACCGGCTTCAGCCGGCTATGCGAGGGGCTGAGGTGACACTAGGGGCAGCCTCGCAGCCTAAGCGTGTGGGGATAAGGCTGGCACTCTGATCGCTCTCATCAGTGAGTGCCCCACGCCTGGGTGCCCGCTATGATTACTCTGAAAAACTAGTGCTGACTTGGCTCACTTGGCGTCTGAACCAAGTTTTCAGCTCATTCCCCGCCTTCTCATACCTTTTTTTAAGATTTCTGGAGTGCACAAGGCACTCGGGTGAGTCTAACCTCAACACCTCCATGTACACTATGTATAATAATGCACACACAACTGAGCATGGGCATACACAGAGCTCCCTTCTTGCTGGCAGGACCACCCTGCTGCAGAGTTCCCTCCTGACCTGTGCTTCCCACAGCTGTGCTTCCCAAGCTGCTGCCAAGCTCTCCCACCCCCATGCTGCAGCACACAGCCACTTTCATGCTACTACATGCGTTCCCGCTTGCTCTACCAGGGTAAGAGCTAAGAAGACAGTCAGGGACACGGAAGGACCGACCACAGGAAGAATCAGAGCTAGCAGGAGCTAGGCAGCCTTAGGCTGGCACGGTGCCAGATCATTGCAGAGGGAACACAGCCCCTGGGAACAGCCCTGACGCGCACAGGATGCATGGGCAGACCACAAGAGGCTGACTCTACTTCAGCAATCAATGGCCTCCAAGGGTTTTCAAATGTGCTTTGGAGAGAACGTCAGGAGAGCTGAACGATAGAGGGACCCCAGGCCATTTGATTTCCTCTGCTACCAAGGGAAAAATGGAGGACGACAGGAACTTACCGTGTGACAGACTTCCGTCTTTATCTCTTTCAAGGCACGTTCAGAAAACACACAACCGCAGCCCCGAAGGAAGCAGAACCTGGAGGGAGAGTCCAATGAGGAGAATGGCTTTACAGTGGACTAGACATGAGTACCGACATCACTGACACCACTTGGCTAGACAAGGAGCCAGAGCCATGAACATAAAAATGACTGTATTTCACTGACTAAAAAATCAGGGATTGGGGTCTAGGGCAGGGCATTTGCCTAGGGCATGCAACTTGCACACACTAGACGCTGGAACCCCAGTGCCACAAAAACAAATTAATAATTATGTCATGTAAAAAATTTAGAAAATATTCATTGAAACTACAAACATAAAAAGACAAAAAGCAAATCAAGTGTATAAATCAAATATGTGTGTGTGTGTGTGTGTGTGTGTATTTAGGTTTTGTAGGGTTTTTAGTTTATGAGTATTTAAAGGTTTTTTTTTTTTTGCTGGTACCAGGGCTTGAATTCAGGGCTTTATGCTCACTCACTTGGCTTGCTGGCTCACACTGGTGCCCTACCACTTGAGCATCCGGCCCTCTGAAAAGGCCTTAAAAAGCAACTATAAACCACATGAAAGCAATATACTCAGGAGGCTGAGACCCGAGGATTGCAGTTCAAAGGCAGCCCAGACAGGAAAAGTTCATGAGACTCATCTCCACTTAAGCACCCAAAAAGTTGGAAGTGGAGCTGTGACTCAAGTGGTAGTATGGTAGCCTTGAGCACAAATGTTCAAGGACAGTGCTAAGCTCTCAGTTCAAGCCCCAAGGTTGGAAGACATACAAAAAAGCTGAACAATATGATGGCAGGGATAGGACACTAACATGTCGTTTAGAAAAGACAAAATCTACAAAAAAATGGTTAGCCTCAGATGTTAAAGAAATTCATTTGAAAACCATGGCTTGTTTCACCTCGCAGGTGTAAGTGAGGAACCTGAAGGTCTCTATTGAAAACTGTGGACACGGGCACTTCTGTGGGCGGTGGGTACCACATGGCACTGCATTTTAGGAGTGGAATTTGACAATACCAAGTAAAGAACCACTTTAAAAACTATTCAATAGAAACAGGTCTCCAAGTGCACAAATGCACAAGTGTGTACTCATCAGGTTGTAAAGCCCAACACTGCTTTTAATAAGCAAAGCAGGGAATCACAGACATGTCAAGTGCTCACCAGTGGGGAATGAGTCCAGCAACTCTGAATACCCAGAGCCTCTGAAAAGAGCAAGGCTAATTGGTGTTCAAGGTTGGAAAAACACATGAAAAATTAAACAAGGCAGCAGCAAAGTAGTTACAAAATATGAACCAGGGATCCATGACTGTCTAGAAGAACCATGTTTAAGTACAGGTCCACCTGCTGAGAGTGGACACTAGAGGGCGGATGGGCAGCAGAAAGCACATTCACATTCTACTCCACCCAGTCCCCAGAAAGTCCACCACGGAGATTTTCACCACATGCAGACTGTCCTAATGGAAACTCACTCAATAAACACCTCAGTAGATTCACTAAATAATGTGGGGTGACTCCTTCCAGCGACCATTTTATGGATGCTTACTACTATTACACTATTTTTCTTTGAACAGAGACCTAATGTATTTTATTGCATGGCAATTTATTTCTATGTGTTCATATCTTTATTATATAAATTTTACTAAATTTACTAATGAAAACAATCTATTGCACAGGCTCTATGAACCAAGAGGACAGAAGCCAAACAGGCAGAGTTCAAAAATAACTGGGAAAAGAAAAAGGGGCAGACTAAGTAGCAGAAGGGGGAGGAGTCGGGGGCCACCAGTCAGAGCACCAGGCTACAGGCAGCTGGGTTTGTTTCCTACTGAGTTCTTCCTGTGGGGAGAACCAAGGTTTTCTTAAAAAGAAGTGAGCAGCCATGCAGAAGGCCACTCCTTGTATGAACTCTGTATGTATGAAATACCTAAGACAAGCAAATTCACCGAGGAGAAGGCAAACTGACACCTGTCAAGGGAGAAGTGCCAGGGGAGGGGAAGTGGTTGCCCTGTGGGCGGAGCAGGGAGAGACGGGTGGGGCGTGGGAGGGGGAGTTTCTTTTGGATGACAAGACAGGTGGTGACGGCACTAACATGTGAATGTATTAAATACCCATGAATTAAAATGGCCGATTTTGTTACGTGACTTTCACTTTAATATACATACATGAATATGTACACAAAAATAAAAAGAAGCCAGACACTGTTGGCTCACCCCTGTAATTCTAGCTGCTCAGGAGGCTGAGATCTGAAGATCTTGGTTTGAAGTCAGACTGGGCAGAGAAGTCTGTGAGTCTTATCTCCAACTAACTACCAAACCAGAAGTGGATGCATGGCTCAAGTTGTAAAGAGCTATCCTTGAGCAAAAAAAGCCAAGTGAGAGCAAGAGGCTCTGAGTTCAAGCTCTAGTACTGGCACCAAAAAAAAAAGAAAAAGTATAATAGCTTGAAATAAAATACAGTAAGCAGGGTAATATTAGGTAAGCAAGTTCCCTGCTTGACCCAACTGCCAAAGAACTGAGCCCTCAATGGTTTAAATTCAGGCACTTGAAAGGTCCCTGGCCTTCTATTTTACTTCTCTTCAAATCCATAAGCTCCAGGCTCTTCCACTTCAGAGCATGGCAGTCCATCTCGGGTAGAGTGTGAAAGCTGGCACAATGGGCACACCGCCTGGCACACCTACCAGCATTGGTCTGTTACCTGAACAACACAAATACACCAGAATGCCAGAGAAGGAGCACAATCAGCTGGGACCTTATCTGGTGCTCACAGCATGCCTCACTACATCCGAAAAGTTGCCTGCTAGTCAATAAATCTGGGTACTTCCAAGGAACGGGAGTTGTCATGGGAAGCCCTGCCCTTTGCTTGCAGTACCCTAGGAGCCGATGGTGAAGTTGACTGACTCAGGTCTCCTGAGTATCACCCTACAACTTTCTGAAGTTCCACTTTTTTTTGTTTGCTGGTTGTGGGGCCTGAACTCTGGGTCTGGGTGCTGTCCCTCAGCTTTCAGCTCAAGGCTAGTGCTCTACTACTTGAGCCACAGCACCACTTCTGGCTTTTTCTGCTTATGTGGTGCTTAGGAATTGAACCCAGGGCCTCGTGCATGCAAGATAAGCACTCTACCACTGAGCCACCTTCCCAGCCCTCTGAAGTTCCTCTTCAGCCTTGGTTTTCCTACTCTCAAGAACAGTGGGCTGCAGACAATGAAGCCAGCTGTGCTGACAGAGCACAGATGGCCACGGGACTGAGTGTGTTTTTTTCCCGAGGCGAGCCAAGCTGAGCCCTAGGATGCCACAAAGAAACCCCAGGCGGACCAGTTCTAGTTCACGGCTCCCAGGTCACTGGCGCTGAGGCTACACTGACCTGTGTCGGCCGTTCATCTCCAGGCCCACCACGGGGCAGATGAACCGGGCTCTCTGGAGGTCGTCATGCTTGTCGCCTTTCGTGTTTCCTTTATCTCCTTCCCAGGCCGGGTTATCAGAGAGCTTTAGCTCGGTCACATTCTGTGGAGAGACATGAGCACTGTTGAAGACAGTCACATTAAGAGCAGCACAGCTCAGCAGGGGCACTGGGGATCACTGGGGGTGCCACTGGCCACTCACGGGCAATCTCACAGCTGTCACCCCCCCCCACTACCCCTGGACTGGGGAAAGAGCCACACCCCAAATTCAATGTATGATTCCCACTGAATGCAACACTTGTACACCATCAGAAAGTAAAAATCCTACATCAAACTATCATATATTAGAGACCACATAACTTGGCAGTTCCTTTTCATACACACGTTTGTTATTTGAGGGACAGAAGCAACTCACTAACTCACTAATAACATGCGCTTAGCTCATCCAAGGCCACGACCTAAGGCAGACCTTTAGGGGGAAAGTGCACGCACAGGTCTCCAAGAATGCAGCCTCACAAGGTGTTTCATTCAGCAGCTCTATGCTAGTGTTGGAAGCATCTCTTTCTACTTAACCCACTGTTTGATTTCCGCACTGAGAAGAGCAGCTAAGCACCTCACAGGAAAGCCATACTTCACAGCCCACTTCCTAAGAGTCAGGCAAAGCCAACTAGGACCTCCTCAGGTATTCTGCTAGGAAGAGAACTTAGGGCTGTAAGGAAAACCCTGCAATCCTTCCTCCAGGAGTGTTTGGAGGTTCCAGGAGAGGAGCCTGGCTAGTTATACACCCTTGACTGAAGCACACTCCTCTGTTGGTCCACTCCACACTCAACCTCAGAAGGGATACCCATGCCACAGTGAGGGGAGGGGACATCAGATAATCAGCCCAATCAGTAGACAGATCAGCCTATATCCTGCATCTTTCTCTGCACTGCTCCCATTTCTTGGAGGGGAAGGAATGTGCATGTTGTGTGCATTACACGTTTGACCACAAAAAAACCATTGTGTTTTAAGCATTGATTAAAAGAATACAAAAGCTAGTGACGTTTTGAGGTAAAAGAATTCACACTTGTGGCTTTTTCAGGAATGAAAATCAGTCTGGCAATTTCTACAGTACCATCACTGGCTACATTTCTTTTTTTTTTTTTTTGTCTTTTTCTTTTTTTGGTACTGGGGATCGAACCCAGGACGTTGCACTTGCTAGGCAAGCGCTTTACCACTGATCTACATCCCAGCCCACTGGCTACATTTCTGAAAAGTACTCAAATAAGCATATCCTATAATCAGCCCCAGAATCCAAGCAAAAAGCCTAACATGTGAATGAAAAAGAAAGCAAGGCAAAGGAAAGGTCCTAAAGCCCTCTCCTGGGAGCCAGGGATTGGGTTCTGGTTAGGCCCACTAAGGAGCCTTGCAATTTCTGGAGAGCCATTATCACCGAGGTGAGGGCTCATCAGCCTGATGCCGCCAAACTTCTTCAGCACCTTATGGATTTTTTTCCCTTTTCATTAATTACATTTGAAAGATTCTGTTCTCTCAATATATGTCCCCAATTTATATATTTTTTTCTTTGATGCATGGTCCCAGAGCTTGAGGACAGAGCTGGCAAGTAGAAGTCACTGGCACTGAAGACATGACGCCAAGAGGGCTTGAGCCCTTTCCTTCTGCCTCCGTAGGTAATGGAGAACAGGACTGCATTTCCTTCTGCCTCCGTAGGTAATGGAGAACAGGACTGCGTGCCTGGTCTCCACCAAGAAATGGAGGGCTATAATTACAAAATTCTCTAATTTTTTTTTTTTTTGGTCAGTTGTGGGGTCTGGGCTCTGTCCCTCAGCTCTTCAGCTCAAGGCAAGCACTCTACCTCTTGAGCCACAGTGCCACTTCTGGTCGTGATCCCGTATCTCAGCCTCCTGAGTAGCTAGGATGACAGGCATGAGCCACTGGCACCCGGCAAAATTCTTTAATTTTATGAAAGCACCTCCCAGATTTAACTAAAAATTCAAGTAACTGAATTTCTTCTTCTTTGTTTTTAAATGGTGTTGGGGATCCAACCGAATGTCATGTTTTAAACAGGATAAGAAAGTGACCTGTTAATGAGCTATATCCCCAGGCCTCAAGCAGAACCTTGATTAAGTACATTCAGAAATTTCACAGCTTCCATAAAACCACAACAGGTTAATCATGCAGAAGTACACGTGTAGGTATTCTGGGTTTGAGATTCACATAAGCTATTACTTCACAGCTCTATTAGAGGCTGGATAGGATTAGAATCCCAAATTCTAAAGTCAGTCGTTAATGTACATAATTTTATGAAATAAGCTCAACCTGGGAGACTCTTTGGAGCACTGTAGAAACATGCCTTACCTTAATGCTCTTTATGTGAGATGCTGCCTTCCCAAGAGCCTTTTCAGCAGATTTGTCCAACAGAAACTCAATAACCGCGTCTTTGTTATAAAGTCTGCAAAAGTAAGGATCAAAGTATGTAGCAACAAGCAATGTTCAATAACCAAAGGAAAACAAATGCTAACCCCAAATCACATTTGATAAAGAAATGTCTTGCTTTACAAGTAAAAGTGCCTATAACCTTCTATCAACCCTTATGAACATGTACAAAGAAGTGGTTTAAATCAAGAGGCAAAGGGTAGATAAAAAAATGAAAAAGGTAACCTGAGAAAGGGATTCTAAAACCTGGGAAATTAAATGTTAAAAAAAAGTACATATTTTCACTTTTTTTCAAAAATAAGAACAGAAGATTCAGAACTTCTAGGCACACATTATTGGACTTTAAACTGGCTAAGGCTGGGGGTATGGTTCAAGTTGGCAGAGCTACAGTACTACCAAGAAAGAAGAATAAATAGCTAGAATCAGCTCCCCTGTTAAACAAGACATAATCTTTCCATACCACCTACCAATCTCTACTGACTCTCACATGGTTCCTTTATGCTTTGTATTTCGAATTTAGCAGAGTTAGAACATGGCTCTTGAGGTTTTGAACCATGGATTGAATAAACCGAATTGATTAGGGGAGTGTAGTTATGTCCAGAAATAGAGAATGAAAACGTTTTCTAAACAGATTTGCTTAGGATAATTCATATTTGATGAGTCTAGAACTCTTTGTAGCCAGGCACCAGTGGCTCATGCCTGTAATCCTAGCTACTCAGGCGGCTGAGATCTGAGGATCACGGTTCAAAGCCAGCTTGGGCAGGAAAGTCGGTGAGACTCTTATCTCCAATAAGCCACTCAGAACACCGGAAATGGCACTGTGCCTCAAGTGGTAGAGTGTTAGCCTTGAGCTGAAGAGCTGAGGGACAGAGCCCAGCCCAGAGTTTAAGCCCCACAACTGACCAAATAAAAAAAAAACTCTATGTACACATTAAAATTTCCCTTCAAGATCACCGAATAAACCTATGTTGATTAAAGTAAAGCAGCCATACCTGCCAAGTTCACAGGCAACTATTGGTCGTCTTAGGATCTCTTGACTCAGAGTGCAATAGTTCCACTGGGCCACTAACTCAGCATCTTTATCAACCTAATAAAAGAAAACAAAAATAAAATCTTTCAATTAAGTTTCACAACGGAAAATTCCATGGTATACAGCTCTCTATATAAGCTTAATACTATGCTGATATTCTGATACTTAAATCAAACCACTTTTATTTTTATTTATTTATTTTGGGTCCGGTCCTGTGGCCTGAACTCTGGGCGTGGACGCTGTCCCTCAGCTCTTCAGCTCAAGGCTAGCCCTCTACCACTTGAGCCACAGCGCCACTTCCGGCTTTTTTCATTTTGCTTATGTGGTGCTGAGGAATCGAACCCAGGGCCTCAGGCATGCAAGGCAAACACTCTACCACTGAGCTACCTTCCCAGCCCACCACTTTTATTTTTTAAATCAAACATAGTGAGGCTGGGCATGGTGATATACACCTATAATCCCAATACTCAGGAGGCTAAAATAGGAGGATCACACATTTGAGTCTAGGCTTGGTAGATTACCCAAGCCCTGCTTCAAACAAACAAACAAAAAAGCCTTGATGATTATGATGATGATGATGTTGGTACTGAGGCATGAATTCAGGGCCTGGGCACTGTCCTGTAGCTTCCTTGCTCAAAGCTAGTGCTTTACCACTTAAGCCACACCTACACTTCCAGTGCCTGGGTAGTTAATTAGAGATAAGAGTCTTATGGACTATCCTGCCCAAGCTGGCTTTGAACTGAAACCCTCAGATTTCAGCCTCCTGAGTAGCTAATATTACAGGTGTGAGCCATAGGGTACTTGGCTGAGCATGAAACTCAGTAATGATACTTGGGTGGTATGCACAAGGGCCTGGGTTCCATCCCTAGTATAGCAAACAAAATGAAAAACAAGAGTGACAGATAAAGGGAACGAAAACATCATGGGTAATTAATACTGTGTCAAACAAATGCAACATATACAAAGCAAGTACCACTTACTAAAACTGTACAAGTAGCTGGGCATCAGTGGCTCATACCTGTAATCCTATCTACTCAGGAGACTGAAATCTGAGGATTGCGGCAGAAAATCTGTGAGACTCTTATCTCCAATAAACTACTTAGAAAAAAAGCAGGAAGTAGTGCTGTGGCTCAAGTGGTAGAGCGCTAACCTTGAGGCTCAGGGTCAGCACCCAGGCTGAGTTCAAGCCCCAGGACCAGCAAAAAACAAAAACAAAACCCAAAAAACTGCAAATACTACCATTTGTATTTTAACACTAAATCTAGGAAGGGCATGTAGAACAGAACTTCTTAAGTATTGCAAGGAGGGTACTAAAAATTCCAAGTTTCAAATCATGAGCTTGATTAAGATTCTGATGACCAAAAGGCCACTAAGTGTCACTTCATTAGAACAAAGGACACGTTTATCACCCGGGAAATTCCAAGAGACTTATGAGTACCGGTCCAGAAACCAGGGGTTAAAAACCAGCACACACATCTAGTGGACATTTCTTATTACTTCACAATATGGATTTGAGATGGAAGCTCTACAAGGGGTCGCGCTCTCTTCTGTATTCCCAGTGTCTAGCCCAGAGCGCACGGAAAGCACTATTATTTGCTGTGCACGATGGAGTGAATAAAAACTATTCTGCTTGCCTAAACATGCCTAGTATTTACCTTTCCTCTTGTCTACCCCCTTTTGACATGTTGCTTGCCCAGCTTTTCAGGAAGCTACTCCCTTTCAGCCCCATCACAAGACACTGAAAGTGAGCTGAGGCTAACAAAACACAACAGAAACTCCACGAACTGGCGAAGGGACGGAAGAAAGTCGAGAATGCCAGCCACGCTCCTTCGGGCCTCGGTCTCCACGTCTGGCCGAGGGTCTGGGCGGTGAGGGTCCCGCGAGTGGCGGCCGGGAGCCGTCAACACGGCGGCTGGGAGCCAAGCGAGCGGCCGGCCGCGCCCGGGCCTCGCAGGCCCCGGCCGCTCCCCGCGCCCCCCGGGCCGCCCCCGCGCCCGCGCCACCCACCTTCTCGACCTTCTTCGGCCCCTTCACCAGCTCGTGTCTCTTGGGGATGGTGCCCCCGTCGCAGCCCATCGCGAAGCCCCACTCGAGACCAGCAGCAAAAGCTCCACTTCGCCACTTCCGGGATCGCCGGCGAAGGAGAAAGCCACCTCCGGCCCCCTGTGATGACGCACCGCCCGTCGCGCAGCTCGCAACCGGAAGAGGCGGGGAGCAAGGCGAGCCCGTTGCCTAGCACCGGTCGCCCCAGGGAAGCGCTGCCAGGAGTTGGGCGTGGCCCGGGACCTGAGCCGCTGGCGCGCGCGCCGAGCGCTCCGAGTGCGCCCGCTGCAGCCGGCCACGCGCCACCCGGCCCGGGATTCCCGCAGGGTGGTCGGCGCTCGCCCACCGCCCCCCCCCCCGTTCCCGGTCGGACCCCCCAGCAGCTGGGGCTGCACATGGGCACCGTGTGCACCGCGGGACCCATCTGTGGAGCCGCAGGTCGGAGCCAACCACCCTGGACCAGCCCGGCCGAGTCCCTGCAGGTTCGGGGCCCCCGCGAGCCTCCGACCGGGGCGGGGGCCTTCGGTACGGCCCTGCGTCCTGCTGGCGGTGCGTTATGAAATTCCCCTCTCATTGGGATAGTATGTATCTTACTCACTGCCTCCTAAGGCCCAGGTTAGGTGTTTTGTTGTTGTTTTAAGAGGCCGCTATAACTAACAAATGAAACATTTATTCTTATAAGAGATACACTGATGTCTACATTCACTTTTGAAGCGACCAGCTCTATTAGATTATAACGGGAGCAGAACTCCCTTTTATAAGACCATTCCTGAAATCCATCGTAGTCTACTGTCAGGCTCTTGATTATTTCTTTGTCCCTTTAATCATTTTACAAACCAGGAGAAAAGCTCACTGTTGACTAGAAGTAGATTCTTTTCAGAACTGGAAACTGCCACAGTGACCTAAGTGAAATGTTTTCAACCTAAATCGATAATAAATCTGCCGCTGGTAGCTCTGGGTTATAATCTTAGCTACTCAAGAGACTGAGATTTGAGGATTGTGGTTCAAAGCCAACCCAGACAGAAAAATCCATGAGGCTCTTTATCTCCTCCAATTAACCAGCAGGGACCAGGAACTGAAGGTATGGCTCCAGTGGTAGAGCACCAACCTTGAGTGAAAAAAGCACGTGAGACCCTGAGTTAAAGCCCTGGTACCAACACCAAAAAAAAAAAAAAAAGAGGAGGAGGAGGAGGAGGTGGGAGGAGGGACAGAAAGAAAGAAACAAAGTTGTTGAAACAGTTCCTCACTTGGGAACAGTTGCCCATTAAGAAAATAGGTAGATGTGAAAAGTTCCAGGTCTATAGAAGCAGAGTGGATATTACTGTCATCAGTGGGAATTAATTGATTTATCAATAAATTGGTCTCTCATTGGCTTCACCAGAATGAATCCCCGGGAGAGTGGGAACTTTCTGTCCTTTCCAGTTGTACCCCAGTACTTAGAAGAGGGGTTGGCATAGTCAAAGTACATTTCCTCAGTAAACTGAAAAAAGAAAAACAAAAAAGCACAGACTCATTAAGGAGAATTGACAGACCCAGTTTTGCAGCCTTCTCCCCCTCTGACCCCCCAGACTGTGAGCAGTACAGAACAGCTGTTTCCAGAACCTTACTTGAAGGCTGAGTCTTTTAACAAAGTCTAGCAATGCCTCCTGCCGCATAAAACGGTGTCCTTAACATGACCTCTCCCTCTGCAAGATGACCACTGGAGAAAGCTCAACAACAATGCCTTGTCAGCTGTGCTGGCTGAGGTGGACAGCTGGACTTCTCTCTCTCCTTTCCCTTTTAGATTCATTGGTCTCTTGGCTACTCTGTGCCTCAGACTATACCCAAGTAAAGCAGTGTAACTTATCACCATCATCAGTGGCAACTATCTTGGGTTGAGAGCTGGTACCATGGTAGAAGGCCTGCCTGCATGTATTACCCTTCTTGACACATCGGGTTCTGGCATCTGGGAGGCAGGTGTGTGTCACTGACTTTGTTGAATAAAAGGGATTTTCCTTACATAAATCCTTGGGGACAACTTTGTCCTGCTCCAGATGTGGACTTAAAGAGAAGGGTGAGGATGGAATGATCAAAGTGGGCGAAATATAAAACACAATCATCTACTAAAACCAGTGTTTCAAGCCAGGTGTTGGTGGCTGGTGCCTGTAATACTAGCCACTCAGAAGATCTGAGGATCTGAGATCTGAGGATCATGGTTAGAAGCTAGTCTGGGAAAAGTTCATGAGACTTTTATCTCCAGTTAACTTGCAAAAAAAGCTGGAAGTAGAGCTGTGGCTTAAGTGGTAGAGCTCCATTCTTGAACAAAAAAAAGGACAGCACCCAGGCCCCTAAGTTCAAGCCCCTGCGCAGACATGCATAAAACAAACAAAACCCACCAGGCGCCCGTGGCTCACACCTGTAATCCTAGCTACTCAGGAGGCTGAGATCTTAGGATCTCCGGTCAAAGCCAGCCCGGCAGGAATGTCCGTGAAACGCTTATCTCCAATAAAC